CTCCTATTTTAACATCCACTGAATTATATATGGAATATTATAATGATTCTTTTTATGTACAGTACTAATTATACTGTAGGAACATATCCATATTTTTGTCATCTTGTCATTAATTATTAAATGGATTCAAGTAGTTTAAAAAAATTACTGGAACATTATCAAGTATGCTCCCTGGGATGGCAACTCGTGAAGATCGTCCAATTGTTGTCGATCAATATTAAAAGCAAAAAAAAATCTAACTCAGACAAAATTAAAATACATATTTCAGTCTTTATTAGCTGTAAATGTTACAACACTAACACAACATGGCATCCCTCGTCAATCGTCTTGTCTGAGTATTTTGAGTTCAATTGTGTACAGGTCGGGAGAGGCTTGTCCACTGGGCAGTGATGCCAACCAGTGGAATATCACGTGCGCTCTATATAAGTGGAGACCACAGTCAGTGTGGGTGTGCGCGTGGGCACGAACACCACTGATAACCGTATACAACCCATTCTTGTACCACAAGTGATATTCGTGCAGAGTTGAATGTTTGCTGATGCTGTTCAGCAACCACGTTGCCAGATGTACCGCGGCTTTGTAATTTAAGTTACCCCTCAAGGAAGGTTCCTTGATGTTGGTGAGGGGCTCTTGATTTAGGGAATTGAATCTGTGCTCCAGTTCCCCGAATTAAGCCTGAATGCCTTCCACATCCCCCCCAGGCGCTGTATAATCCACCGGGTTTAGCGCTTCTCCCTTGATTATAATAATATAATAATGTAATTTAAGTTTTATGTAGCCTATTCAAAGATAAATTAAAGACAATGACATTTAAGAAAATGATGCTAGAAACTTCATGAGAAAATAAATATAATTCAATAAGGATTGGTTGTCGTATGAATTTGTAAGGAGTATAAGTTTTGAGTTGGGCTCAATGACCAAGGGTGACGTGCCCTTCTGAGAACTTCCCGCTCATCATGAACAAGTGCTTGCAGGGGACGGGAAGGGGAAGCCGATACTAAACACCTGACCCCGCATCCTAACAACTTTGAAGAGCAATACTGATTTTTTAACCTCTTGGGCTTTATCATATGTCTTCAGTTTGTATCAATATTACATCCATCACTGCCTCATCTGAGTTATTTCATTTTTCAACAACCCCGATACTAAAGAAATATTTCCTTACATCACCAAGGCGCATCTGTGTCTGTTTAGCTTCCATCTGTGTCTTCTTGCGTCAAGGTCGACTGGTTCAGTTCCCTCAACCTCTCCTCAAAGTGCATTCTTTTCAGTTATAGGACAAGTCTGGCTACAAACCTTTGGACATTTTCGATTCTCTGTGCTAGTCCAGGTGTGGTCTCCACGCTAGGGCTGCGTATTCAATACTGGCCTAACGCAGACGTGCATAAAGTTCTGCAAGATTAATTGTTCAACTTCCTAAATGATGTTCTGAAGTTTACTAGTCTTGCAGATGCTATTGAAGTTATCTAGTTTGTCTAAATCAGGCGATATGTTTGGTGTTATATTTACTCCAGATCCTTTTCCTTCACTGATATTTGCAGCTTGTCTCCGACCATAATGTATTTATTGTGTCCTGTCTATTCTCACCTCCACTCTAAACGACCTTGTTTTTCATTGAATCGAACTCAAGCAGCCACTTCTTGGACTACTTTTGCAGCTTGTTCAGTTTTTTCTTAAACCTTTCATTGTACTTTCATTTTCTTAGCCCTGTCGTTACATCAGCAAACGTATCCCCATAAAACTCAGTCCTTGAGGGGCCCCACTCGTTACTCTCTCTCAATCTGATGTCTCATTATTTACTGTTGTTTTCTTTCAAATACTTACTGGTCCACTGAAGTACTTAATTGCATGACGTACGAAATCCATCCTTTGTCAAGACATATGACAAGGAGACACACCAAACTTTTGTTCTCACACTAATTATACAGTTCATTCTCCTGGAGGCTACCTGGAGGTTATTCCGGGGATCAACGCCCCCGCGGCCCGGTCCATGACCAGGCCTCCCGATGGATCAGGGCCTGATCAACTAGGCTGTTACTGCTGGCCGCACGCAGTCCAACGTACGAGCCACAGCCCGGCTGATCCGGCACTGACTTTAGGTATCTGTCCAGCTCTCTCTTGAAGGCATCCAGGGGTTTATTGGCAATTCCCTAATGCTTGATGGGAGGCTGTTGAACAGTTTTGGGCCCCGGACACTTATGGTGTTTTCTCTTAGTGTACCAATGGCGCCCCTACTTTTATTGGCGGCATTTTGCATCGCCTGCCCAGTCTTTTACTTTCGTAGGGAGTGATTTCTGTGTGCAGATTTGGGACCATTCCTTCCAAGATTTTCCAAGTGTAGATTATGATATATCTCTCCCTCCTGCGTTCCAACGAGTACAAGTCAAGTGCTTCCAAGCGTTCCCAGTAGTTAAGGTGCTTGACAGAACTTATACGTGCAGTAAAGGATCTCTGTACACTCTCTAGATCTGCGATTTCACCTGCTTTGAATGGAGATGTTAATGTACAGCAGTATTCCAGCCTAGAGAGAACAAGTGATTTGAAAAGGATCATCATGGGCTTGGCATCTCTCGTTTTGAAAGTTCTCATTATCCATCCTATCATTTTCTTTGCACGTGCGATCGTGGCACTGTTGTGATCCTTGAAAGTGAGATCCTCAGACATTACTACTCCCAGGTCCCTTACATTATTTTTCCGCTCTATTGTATGGCCGGAGTCAGTAGTATACTCTGTTCTAGTTATCTCCTCCAGTTTTCCATAACGGATTAGTTGGAATTTGTCCTCATTGAACATCATATTGTTTACCGTTGCCCACTGGAAAACTTTGTTTATATCTTCTTGGAGGTTAACCGCGTCCTCAGCAGATGACAGCCTCATGCAGATCCTAGAATCATCCGCAAAGGATGATACGGTGCTGTGGTGTATATCTCTGTTTATGTCTGATATGAGGATAAGGAATAAGATGGGGGCGAGTACTGTGCCTTGTGGAACAGAGCTCTTCACTATGGCAGCCTCCGATTTAACTCTGTTGACCACTACTCTTTGTGTTCGATTTGTTAGGAAGTTGAAGATCCATCTCCCCACTTTCCCAGTTATTCCTTTAGCACGTATTTTATGGGCTATTACGCCATGATCGCATTTGTCAAATGCTTTTGCAAAGTCTGTGTATATTACATCTGCATTCTGATTTTCTTCCAGTGCATCCAAGGCCATGTCATAGTGATCCAGTAGTTGTGAGAGGCAGGAGCGACCTGCCCTGAACCCATGTTGCCCTGGATTGTGCAGATTTTGGGAATCCAGGTTGGAACGTTTCCTGGTTATTTCGGCCACCTTGTTAAGAACATAAGGATGAAGGAAACTTGCAGTAGGCCTACTGAGCCATGTTAGGTAGGTCCAGTTCACATCCACTCATATACCCGTACAACCTATATTTAAACTTACCCAAAGCTGTCTCCCCTAACGACGCTCCCTGGTTGTTTGTTCCAATCATCTACAACTCGACTGTCAAGCCAGACATATTGCGGCCATTTTTCAATATGCCGATTTGTAGTTAAATATTTTTCATAGGTTTATGTAACCAAGTCGAACCCATCCTAGAAAAAGTATTTGTAAAATTACGGTAAGCGATAAGAAATTGACGGTGGAAAGTAAACGATCTTATTTGGATTATTAAACCGGAGGGTTAGTAACCCAGGATAATCTAAGAAAACCATTCAATCAAGCTTATTTCCACTGGGAGTCCTATGAGTTTCCAGAGGATGCAACTTACAACAGTTGACTAACACCCAGTTATATAATTTACTTCTAAGTCAGCAAGAACAGTAGGTGTAAGGAAATAGGGCCAACGTTTCCATTTGTGCAGACTGAACCCAGGCCTTTCAGATGTTAGCTGAAGGCGCTACAAGCCACGAAAGTAGTAAAATATAAACAGAAGCTTCTCGCACTACGCGCGTTAATTGTACAGATTTCAACCTAGAAAAGTGAAGAGGATGCAGCATCATATAAAATACGGTAGCAAAACTATGCTAATGTTTCAAATTGCACAACATATAAAAAAAAAAAAAAAAAAGAGTATCTGGGACTGAGCTCAAATGCGTGTGGGTTAGTGTGATACCGTTAGCTCTTAACTTGTTTATTAAAGACCACTAAATATTTAATGAAACTTTCCTAGATTGTATGTATGAAAGCTTTAAAATACTGTTTAGTGTACATTATTATTAAAATCACGGGGAAGCGCTAAGCCCGTAGGATTAGACAGCGCCTGTGGGGTGGGGGTGGAATGGAAGGTATTCAGGCCTAATTCAATGAACTGGCGCACAGATCCACTTCCCTTGATCAAGAGCCCCTCACCAGGATCAAGGAATCTCCCTTGAGAGGTTAGTGCACCACAGCTACGCAGGTATTATTATTATTATTATAATCAAAAAGAAGCGCTAAGCCACAAGGGCTATACAGCAGCTACGCAGGTAGATAACTGTTTATTGACAAAGAGAACATCCGTTTTAGTCTACCTGTCTGTCATGGTTCCCACCTGTTGTTTGGGAATAGACAGCTGATCACGATTCATTCTTACTCTTTCCTTCTTGCTCTTCCTTACTCGCCTTCCTTCCTCTTCCCCTATCTGTCTCTGTCTCTCTCTCTCTTACCGATCTAGATTAATTTGGACAAAATAACTGCTTTCTGTACAAGACCCAAACTGAATCTTACAGCTAACCTACACAAACAGTACCACAAAAATCTGCTTGCTTGTTGCCAAAGTTATTTTCTTTACCAAACCAACAAAAAAAGCAACCCTTGAAACAGCAATGACGATACTTCAACCTGCTTTTGTGCTGGGTCATGGGATCTACCTAACCCTTGGCACCTAGGCTATAATTTTATATATTATCAGTAACAGAGCTGCCCCCTTTATTGTTAATAATATGGGTGTGGAGTGCATAATAAACCTGTTAAACTATTAGCAGTATATATTAATGAACTTTCATGTCACTGTCACTTACCATGCGGAAGAAGCTTAGAGATGTGTATTATCTTGGAGGGTATGTATGTTAGCGAGTCATTTTCCTATCAACCTAACCTGTTCATCTCCCACCTTCCTACACGTACAAAAAAAAAAGAGTTGGGCAAATTTTTCCAAGTATTATAACCTTCTCCGGTACTGCTACTCCACGATCATTATTTGTGGGTGAACGTTCTAAAAATCACTATTGTTTCATTCTTGTAACGTTTAATTCAGTGTTTCACCATGTTGAGGATGCCCCATACACCCTACCTCTCACACATCTGGCTCACCACTAAACACGGCAGGACTGGTGAGGTCTGGCTGCTCCCGCTAAGTCAAGGTTGGGGCCCTGGCTTGCCAGCTCCACCAATCACCGTCCAGATTAAATCTATCCTCATTTTTATTGGCTGCCACTGAGGACCCGAGACACTAACCCACATTTTCGAATGTCTTTTTTTTCTCCCCTGGCTGCCCACACAACCCACCTACCCAGGTATCAAAAACATCCAACTGACCTGGCGTTTATTAATTACTTCTTGTCGCAAAATTTACAACAAATTCCGCTGCTATCCGAAGTTCGTAAGATGATGCTAATATGGAAGCAGTTTCTGGCGAATACTGGATGATGACATTTATCAGATATGGTAAAAAAAACAGGAGAGAGTAGTTTCCATGCAGGTATCCGGACGTGGGTCGCCTCCCCTACACAAGCCCACATACTTATTGAACTCACTAGTACAACCACCTAACTCGCCATTTAAAATCTTTCTTCTTTATCGATGGACATCAATTTCACTTGATACAATATACTGGCAATAAAATATATATTTGTTAATAACCTAAACACTTAAACCAGTATTAATGTATAAGGTACTCAGTAAGTTAGTCTTTACTTTATATCATTATTATTATAGTCAGGGGGGGGGGGAGCACGAATCCCATACTAGTCATACAACGTCTAGGGAAATTAAAGATAATCAAATTCGATCCAAGGAAGGGAGATTAGGTCAGGTTCCATGGAGCAAGAGCCCGTCACCAGCGTCAAGTACTCTGCCAGGTGTGGCTCCACCTTACAATTACACAGCAGCAGCTTGTAACCCCTCCTGATTAAGTACGGTCCGAAGCTTGGAAAGGTGCAAAGGTGTGCATCAAGAGAAGGGATGGACACTATGAAGAGCGACTAACAGAGCTGAACCTGATAGCCTTGGAGGAAGACTAGGGTGAACTTGATTATGATATACAAAATGCTCAAGGAATTGGTAGGACAAGAAGAAATTGTTTGAAACGCGAGGATCATTAACCAGGGTACATATGATAGATAAATACACAGATCAGTACATACATTTTCAGTCAGTGTTAGGAAAGTGGAATGAATTGAATGTAAAATTGTCTATGTAAATTCCATAAGTACCTGACACCCATTTACATATTTTTATTGCTAGGTTAGTGTGGAAAATACTGTATACATTTTCCGGAAATACGGTAATTTATAGGTAAATAGATGCCCTATATTGTATTTTTAAAAGAAGTATATTATCGAAAATGGGAAACCTGCGGCTGGGGAGGTCAGTCGCCATTTTGTTTGAATTTGGATTAGAAATGTTGGTGTAATGGGAAGAATTTTTCGTGCTCTAGAGGTTAAAATTGGGCTGACACCTCTCGAATAGGAGACGAAATTGTTGGATGTGCATTCCTGCATAACTTGAGATATCAGGCGACTGGACAAGACAGCTCCAGAACCTCAGATAAGTCTTATGTAGTAACCTGGCCAGTGTTATTTTCATAGACAGTGAGGTTTTCTGAGTATGATACACATTAATCTCCAGTCAAATTGGTGAGTGTTATGATTAAGATATATTCTCCTTCTGTTGTATAAATGTGCATAATAATATATATATATAAATATATATATATATATATATATATATATATATATATATAATATATATATATATTAATAATTTATTATTTTTAATATACAGTCCGCAAATTTATATATTTACCAGCATTCCTGGTGTATGTATATTTCATTTATAATTAATAGGTCCAGAGCAACTTGTGGTTATGACAGTGGTAGGTATCGAAGGGGGACATTTTTTGCGACCTAGGTGTCCCAAATTCCTACTTGTCTATGTAACATTGATAAATAATAATTATCTTTGTTATCATTTACTGTTATGTACATAATTAGTTACATTCAGATAAATGCAATTTTCCACAGTTAGTAATAAAAATGTGTACATACCTGGAAACTTGCTTATAAGTCTTGCTTGGCTTAAGACTAGCCAGAGACCTCTCAGGTGTGGGCCTTACTCTCAAAGTGCTTGGTCTGTGCTTATAATCTCGCAATGTCAGCTAGGATCAAACGTGCAGGCCTGGTTAGCGCTGTGAGGCAGAGCCGAGTTTGAAGGTCCTGGGTACCCCAAGACGGCTGTGGGACGGGTGTAATGTGAGCTGTTATAATAGAGGCTAAAGAAACAATGTCATATTTGTTGTTCTAGACCGTGAAATGACAGTATAGTGTAGTATGTGAAGAGTGTAATGATACAGTGTTGCGTAAAGTGCGATGTGGAGGTATTCTGACTAGTGTGAGAGGCATAGCCTAGCTTCGTTGTGGTCAGGCAGTTAGTTTATTCGCTAGGGAAAAGCCGACACTATTTTCTTTTATAAAATAACCCCGCTAAGTTGTCCTAAGGTGGAGCACTGTCTGATGGTCTTTTAAAGGACACACAAAGGTAAGGTAACCGATGACCATGTGACGGACGGGCCATGGCAAAAACCGACCGGCAGACATGTGGGAAAGCCGTGCTCTTTGATGCTGTGAAGCAACAAGAGTTGAGAAAGAGGGTTGCATCCTGGGAAGAGTACCAGTTCTGAGATATGTAAATTGAACGGTAAAGCATGACTAGGACAGTGGTGTAGCATGGAGATTTTGTGAATAGTAACTGCTGTGTAATGATAATCTATAATTCTTGTAATCTTAGAAAGCAAAACATTCAGTTTTTGGCTATAGTTGACGACTACTACTCGGGCACTTTACAAAGCATATAACCTACAGTATGTACACCACAAAATAAGTAAGGTCTTGTACAAATTTTTATTTTGGGAGATATTAGTGAAAATGATATATTTATTTTGTGTAGCACGTTTGAGCCAATCAATACGGAGTCGCGTCCGCACCTGGCTGAATGTGAACAAGGACACTTATCAACCGATGGCGAAGTAAGGTTAATTTACGTTAGGTTATTTTAGATTGGATTATTTGCACAATAAAATAATATATAATGTAAAACACTCTTAATATTACAATTCAAATTATAATTAATTGCCAGAATCTGCTGAGGAGTTAGTTAGTTAGTTTAATATGTTTATTATGCACCCCATACCCATCCTGTGGGCGGTAGTCAAAAGATTACAGAGGTACATAATTGGTCCAGGGACTGGACTCCAAAGTTTTGATAGCTGAGCAAGTTACAGAGGTAATGAACTCACAATTTACAAAGGTAATGAACTCACAATTTACAAAGGTAATGAACTCACAATTTACAAAGGTAATGAACTCCAGGTAAGTCTGGTCACAATCATGACAAGTTACAAAGGTATTTACAGATTACAGAGGTACGTAATGGGTCCAGGGACTGGGCCCCCAAAGTTTTGATAGCTGAACTAGGTACAAAGGTAATGAGCTCACAAGTTACAAAGGTAATGAATTCTGTAGAATGGTTACTTACGTTTATACATGGCTACAATCATGAACAAATTATAGAGTAATGAGCAATTCACACTTCCACACCCAGTCACAACTGTAGTGAGTTATTGGTGCAAATATTGATTGTTGAGTCAACACCCCCACACACACACACACACACACACACACACACACACACACACACACACACACACAACACACACACACACACACACACACTTCAGTTTAATATCTTTATGCACCCCATACCCATCCTGTGGGCGGTAGTCAAAAGATTACAAAGGTACATAATGGGTCCAGTGACTGGACCCCAAAGTTATGATAGCTGAACTAGTTACAAAGGTAATGAACTCCAGGTAGATCTGGTCACAATCATGGCAAGTTACAGAGGTAATGAATCAGCTTCACTCCTATACTAGACTAGTACCAAACTTGCACACGAAAATCACTCACTACGAAAGCAAAAGACTTGGCAGACGATGCACCACCCCCCAATGAAAACTGGGTGTCACTAGCACGTTAGAGACCATACAATAAGTGTCAGGGGCCCGAGACTGTTCAACTGCCTCCCAGCACACATAAGGGGGATTACCAACAGACCCCTGGCAGTCTTCAAGCTGGCACTGGACAAGCACCTAAAGTCAGTTCCTGATCAGCCGGGCTGTGGCTCGTACGTTGGTTTGCGTGCAGCCAGCAGCAACAGCTGGTTACTAGGCGCTGATCCACCAGGAGGCCTGGTCACAGACCGGGCCGCGGGGGCGTTGACCCCCGAAACTCTCTCCAGGTAAACTCCAGGTCTCCAGGTACATCGTTACAGTCATGAGCAAATTACAAAGTAATGAACCACTGATACGTCCACACCTGGTCACAATTGTAATGAGTATTAATACAAATATTAAGTGGATCATACACCCACACTAGCGCGCGCGCGCACATACACACACGAGGGCGCATGCACGGACATGTGCACACGAGCGTACAAATATATGCATACACACAAGGACGCACACCCACACACACACACACACCAACACCCACACACACACACCCTCACACACACCCTGAGGAGCAGTCAACTTTTACGCTGTTTTTGACAAATTCCAACTACATGTACTCCGTTACGGACAACTGGAGGAGATATTAATTAGAACTGGGTATACAACAACCTCTGATCACACAATAGAGCGAAAAATAATGTGAGGGACCTGGGAGTGGTAATGTCTGAGGATCTCACTTTCAAGGATCACAACAGTGCCACGATCACAACTGAAAAGAAAAACGGTAGGATGGATAATGAGAACGATCAAAACAAGAGATGCCAAATCAATGATGATCCTTTTCAAATCACTTGTTCTCTCTAGGCTGGAATACTGCTGTAGATTAACTTCTCCGTTCAAAGCAAGTGAAATTGCAGATCTAGAGAATATAGAGAACCTTTACTGCACATATAAGTTCCATCAAACACTCAACTACTGGGAATGCATGGAAGCACTTGTACTCGCTGGAACATAGGCGAGAGAGATTTATCATAATCTACACACAGAAATATATCATAATCTGCACACAGAAATCACTCCCTACGA